CCCCCGCATCGATACTGCAGGGGAGTATCAGTGCGGGGATGTACCGGTGTAAGGGAGTATCAGTGCGAGTACGTACTAGTATATGGATGTAACCGTTTTCCACCCTGTACTACTATTCCAAACCATATGGCAATTAGGAATCAGAATAGGAAAAGGATGGAAGAGGTTAATAAATCCAATAACTTAAATAATAATAATAATTAAAATAAATAAAGTTGACGAACAATGCCTTACATAGCCCAATAAACTGCCTTTAGTGGGTAAGAGAAAAACACTGCAACAACGAAGATTGCAAAAAATACAAAATGTGCCATAATTTCGTAAAGATTTTCCGTTGTTTTCCCGTTGAAAAATGTACAGAATGTGACATTTCGTGGTAAGCACATAGAAAAATTGGGGGCGTCTCGATAGTCCGAAGGTTCATTGGTCCGAAGGTTCATTGGTCCGAAAAGTGGTAACATTTTTATCGATTTTTTAATCAAGGGTTCATTGGTCCGAAGGTTCTATAGTGAACATTCGGACCAATGAACCTTCGGACTATTGAACCTTCGGACTATCGCTACGGCCCCGAAAAATTCAGTTTCTTTCAGTTCAAACTATTGTAGACTTCAAACCAGGTTGCTTCCGACTGCGACGTGTATTGTATTTCCCAATTTTTGTTACAAATCAATAAACGCGGAAGCACACTTCGCAAAATACTCCATCAGACGTAATATTGATCGCTTTTCGTATTTATTCCCAATAATATATTCACCTAATTTATACAATACAAGTACTGTCTACTAACACGTTTTCAATATCTCTTTTTAATACACCATTATTTTGACTTATTGCCATCGATTTGATCCGACATAGTCACCCATGGTGATTCATTCATATAATCTCTCGCTATTCATTGAACGTGGGTGCGCGATTTCGAATCTAGTTTTTCTACCAACAGCGGTTGGATGTTTAAATCATTGTATATCTAAGTCAAATACAATTTATTAATCACAAAACTCGTTTACATAATAGAAACGTTCGAAACTGGTAGGAACAATGTTGGGGTGTCTTGGTAATTACGCGCAATAATACGCGCACTTCCTGCTGACGGAACTATTTGACCTGTTGGCGGGCACAGCCATCTTGTTGTATTTTTTCCAGAAGCATTGAACTATTAATCTATTTCGATCGTCCATCTTCTAAAGCCATCGGATATGTCCAGAGAGGATTTTGTATATAAGGCTAAACTAGCCGAACAGGCTGAGAGATATGATGGTAGGTACCACAGAATAGTTATAGGAATCATTATATGTAAGATGACAACCGATAGTGACTAATTCATAACAATTTTCAGGTTGGTTTCTTTAAATTTCTATTATATTGGGCTTTGGTTGACAGATAAGCATATTCAGAGATTACCTTTGTAACGCATATTATGGGCGTAGGTAAAATTATAAAGGGTTTTGAATGATAATACTTCCTTTGGGTCCCTTCCCAAGTCCAGGAAGCAAAAGTCGAAAGGAAGTGTTGCATCAAAATTTAAAAAAATCAATAAAAGGAAGACTGTTTTATTTATTATTCTCAAACATCAAGAAGTGGTTTGTAATTTTAGAGTCATCTCCTTTTATGTGTTCTTTTTATTTTGCCTTGCATGTCTGACTTTTAAGAACATAAAGTTAACCAACAAGACTAACTTCTGGTAAGATGCACATTTTATCATCACTACATCATAGATGTCTATTCTTGTGAAAATGATGCATTATTTACATTTTCAATCATTCTTATTTCAGCATACATTATGTCATATAAATCCTTGTTGGCATTTTATCAGGTTTTATAACAGGACAAATTATCTGAAACAAAGCTTTTCTCAGTCAACGGTCCTGATGTTATTCGGCAGGTCAGGTCATTATATAATTACTGAACAGCCTATTCTTTTAAAGACAGCTGGATATCATACTTTTTTTGAGAAAAGACCACTTGGCCTTTTGGAATGGCCGTGGAAAGTCCACAAAATACTCTTAAAGTAATTTGACATACCCAGGAACGCGTCCCAGTGAATAATACTACTTTGTAGTGCATGCTATACTTCATTCACAAATTAACTATACCATAAATTTATGAAACAATAGAAATGTTTCAATTATCTTTAAAAAAACATAATGCATGCCAAACCCAGCAATGACAACAGTGACCTACATTCAGTACAAATCATAGGCCCTATACAAAGTTTGAACAAACTTACTGCCAAATTATGAAAATGGACACCTAGACCTTCAAACAGCAAATGACAGGGGTCGACAGAGTTTCTTGACTCAAAGGATCCCTCTCTGCCCCCTCATCATTGCATTTAAAGGTACATATGAACCGAACATCGGTGGAGCGTGGATTCCCAGTAACACATTTAAACCACTTCTACTAGATTCTTATATGACTCAAATAAATTCGACATGCCAAGGGATAAACTGAATAGATCACTCGATCAGCCATAAAAGACCTTAAGACTGCTTTCTTAAAATTTTTGGTTGTAAATTTAACCTACTTTCATGACCTACTTTCCTGCCCCATTGACATACAGCTTAGAATGCCAGCAGAAAAATCCGTTTAAACATCCATTTTCGGGTAAAATTAAACAATGCCTTTTGGTAATTCTCCTAGTTGTACTACTTGAAACTATATGCTGGCATTTGGTTGGTTTTTGTGACAAAAATTGACTTTGTATGCATCTTTAAAATTCTCTTAATTGAGCTTATTATCCATAAAATGAGCTTGTATGAAAGTATATTTTAAATTGCATGGCAGTGTTATAAAACACATAGTCACATATGTACTTAGACTGGGTTCCCACAGATTTAGATAGATCAATCTGGATTGACCTAACTCCTTGGGGGTTCACGCTAAAATGCTGTCAGCTTCCGGGTGCTGAGGGAGCATAAAAGTTAATCTCCTCCTTTTGATAGGCGGGACAGACATTTAAGCCGGCCAAGTTGACAGCAATCTAGTGAGACTCCCCAGGGGGATAGATCGATCTAAGCATATGTGGGAATGGTCTCTTATTTTCTGAGTTGAGCTTGATTTTCCCTTCTTATTGCAGAGATGGTTGAGCACATGAAAAGTGTTGCTAAATTGAAAGAAGAACTGACTGTTGAGGAGAGAAACCTGTTGTCAGTAGCATACAAGAATGTAATTGGTGCAAGAAGAGCATCCTGGAGGATTATTAGCAGTATAGAACAAAAAGAAGAAAACAAGGCTGATAAACCTGAAAAATTACCAAAGATAAAAGAGTATAGAGAAATGGTAAGATAAATACATCTCATACATCAGGTGAATAAACCAACCATTAGCACAAAAACTAGTCTTCATTTGTACTAAATGATTTGTACTAAATGTACATGGTATTGCTTTTATAAAACCCATGTGGGATTCCACATACAATGCAATTTAGTACTTTTATTATCCATGTTCATGGCCTACATTCTGATTGACATAGTCACTATCTAGTTTACAATTACAAATCTGGATGAAGCGACCATCCATGTCATAAGGTCACTGACAAGCTTACTCAACTGTCAATATTTCCAAATTAAAAGTGGGAAGTCTCACTTATCTGAGGAAATGGGTATAATTTTTAAAGAAGTTGAATATGAAGTCTTTTGGGGAATTCAAATCTGACCTTTGATTTCACCTTTGACATATTTTTCTGGTACATATGGTGGTTTATATTTTGAGAATATTATTTCTGCTGGTTTTCATAAGCTTTGTAGTACCATTTTTCAACCAAAGGGTTGTAGAATGGATGCTCGGTGGTGGGCACGTAGTGATAAAATGTTTACTTTCTATCTGGAGTGCTTTTCACTAGTGGCAAGAAATATGAGGGTCACAACTTGCTTCTCACCAGCCACGAAGCTTGATCTATATATGATATCATTTTATTCTTCAACCAACTCATTCAAAGGTAATCACAAAAAACATCTCGACAGTTCTAGTGGGAGTTCTAGTCCCCCTTTTTGCATAGCTCCGCTGTTGTTCATGAATTCCAACCTTTTGTGTTGTGTCATCAAGGGAAGGACCCACTTGGTTTGAAGCATGGGTTGTCTACCATCTGGTTCATTAACAGAGTATGTGGACCTTGTAAGATGGAAGAATGCAAAAGATTTTTCATTCCCTATAATTTATTTTCTGGAGATGTTTTTAATAGGATAACCCCAGTAGAACCGATGAAAAATTATTAATAAGCCAGAAAATACCCAAGCACTTTAGTTGCCCAGCTGTTGCCTACTATTGTCCAAACAATGCCCATCAGTCTTTAGACGGCAGAAGCATGGTTGAATGATCCCCACTGACTGTTGGCTATTGGTTGCTGATGATGATACGTAGAAGGTAAAGAAAAGGCTTGATGGTTGTTCAACCGTCATTCAAGGATTGTTTGTAATTGCAATTATTCAGCTGATGCACAGGTATCCATGGTTCTACAGGAAATCACATATTTGAGCTTTTATGTAGAAGATATTTTTTGGGTTTGTCAACCACTGAGCATCCTAGTTGTATTATTGGTTCCACATGAAAGTAACAAAGTCTCAGCTGTGTAAGGGGGGCCTCAGATGTGGTACATGCCCAGGAGTCCTCAATATCACTGTTTCTCAGGTTCAAGTTATTGAAAAGACTGAAATTTCCATATTAGTATATTGACTTGGGGAAAATTTTGCATGAGGTGTTATTTGTCATGTTCTCTCAATTCTCTGATAGAATCAGTAATGTATTTGACTAAACTATTTTTAAATATGTAAACTTGCACATGATACAAGAAACTTTTATTTGTTTCAGGTTGAGAAAGAATTAAAAGATATCTGCGATGATATTTTGAATGTGATTGAAGAGTACCTTCTGAAGGGAGATTCAGTGTCTGGAGAGTCAAAAGTTTTCTACAAAAAAATGTAAGAGATTTTTTTTTCTTTTATTTTATACCTTACACCCCACATATGTGAGTTTAGCATCCAGATAGTAAAATGACCTGAATGGGTGTTTTTAATTAGTGTACAGCCATGCTTGGTATTGATTACTTTGATGAAAACTACAAAAACCAGACATAGTGAAGGTTTTGCAGGCCCATGTGTTTTCTAAGGGGCCACACATGGGTATTTAACGGTTTCTCTCACCAACAATGATTTGAACAAATATTATAGTACTTAAAATTTTGAAAAAAAAAAAAAAAGAACTTTCAGAAAACTTACTGAAAACTGATAATATATACCCACCCTTTTGTTCCATTATTATATAAAAACATTCATAGCAGACCTCCACCAAGGACTTTACTTGTGAGAAATTATAGACAATTGGCTTTGCATGTACCTGAGAACACTTTGAGAAAGACATTGTTATATTATAAGTTAAAAACCACAGAATGGCATAGAATTTTTTTTAAAGGAAACTTTGTGATGCTGTTAGTGATCTCATGCATATATGTGACCATCAAAATAGGTCAAACATAATTACTACACCTTTTTATTATTGTACCACCAGCGTTAGCGCTGGCGGTACACATGGTTTCGGTCTCGTCCGGATCGTTCCGCCGGCTCCGCCGGACGGCTACCGTTACCGCTTCTCCTCCTAGACGGTAAGGCCCCCCATACCCATCTCATGGATTTAGGTCACCTATAATCTCAACTCGTTCCACGTAAAATTTGGGCTTTGTCGGTATTGGGGTCTGGGTGTGGCACTCATTGCAATGCACCCTTGTCCAAAAATGGCAAAATTAAATGCTAATTATCTACCCTACGGAAGGAGTTACGGGAAAAATTTCTACAGACGGCTTTCCAAAAGTCATATGTGTAGATTTCAAATATACCCTCGGATTTGACCTTTGACCTTTACTTCAAGGTCAAATGGGCCAAAATTTTCAAAAAAATGAAATTTTTTACGAAAAAAAAATTTTTTGCCCTGTTATTCAGACACCACACAGACTTAACCAATAATATTATTGGAAAGTGTTACCCTTCAGGTCATCTTTCATCTCCGTGAATTTGGGGTCAATCGGTGCATTTTCACAGGAGTAGCGGCCATAAGATACCGAAACTGAAAACTGTCTCTAATTCGGGAACCGTTAATGCTAGAGACCCATTCTTTTTTGCATTTTGTAGAGCATGTAAAGCCCAACACTG